AAAATAGTATATATGTATATCACCGTGCGACAGTAAATTTTATACACAAAAAATGAAAATATACGCGAAAATATGGGTACCTAGTTTTTCTAAATTGGCAGGGATTTTAAGGAGGGTGCAGACAGCACTATCCTCTTGAATTCGATAACTTCCTACGAATTATATCTTAACTACTTACCCTATCCGCCATGGCTATGGTAAGCGCATGATATTCTCCCAATTTTTCCATAACAATTTGCGCATGCGCCAAATCAAGTCCAGCTTGCCTACTCTCTAACGAGAAACCTAGCACACTCAGATCCTCAAAAATGATGTTCTGCTCCGGTTCGGTGGTTGAATGGAAGTGCCTTAGAAAAGGGAAAAATCAAATAATTTTTAAACACTTTAGTAGGTAATTTAAACGAATATCTCCAACCTTGCGGCCAGGTTCCACGATTCGCCCAAATACCACATAAGCGCCTCCACTTTGGGCTTGATGTCCAAATAGAAAATTGTCTCTTTCCGGTAGATGTTCAAGCGGCTAAGTACGCCTTGCTTAAGTTTTGGCATATTTTTGATTATCACCGTTTGCTCGCTTTGCTGATCGTCGGTGTTTTTGTATTTGATGATCGCGCGATAAATATTACTGCAGTAATTTTCGCCCCCCATTGTTAGATTCTCAATGGAAATGCCAAGTATTTTGATGTCCCCCGTGCGTAGTCCATTCTCTAGTGTTCTCTTGAAAAACTCTGTATTGAAGTAGTTGGGTATTTCACCAATTGCAAAGGTAGCCATTTTCCACGGTATATGTAGTTACAGCGTTGGATTTTGTTCGCAAGCTCACTCGACTACTCTTCAGTCAAAACTATTGCATTTTGCACATTTACAATTCATTTTAATATGAAGACTTCTGTGTGTTGAAATGGCAGATTTACGAAATCCATTTATTTGTTTTGATAAATACCGACTGCAATCCCATTTCTGTTTAATTGGTCTCAATTGATGAGTCGTTTGTGGATATACCGCATTCTATGCTGCCTTTGAGTTGATATGCGCACACTGATTGACATTTCTAATCAAAACTTTCATTTAACTCATGAATAAATGGTCGCCGCGTAGATTAACATTAAAAAAAGATGTACGAGTATGGTTGGTATATGCTATTTTTAAATCAGAGACCCACTTTGAATTTAAATCAAGCTCCATTGATAAGTTATGTACATTAGGATGGTCCACATTTTATTTCTCATAGAAAAAACCTCTCTGTATTTATTGGGTTTTTTATAGCCTTGTTGATCTGTCGATATTTGTTTCATGAAAATTTAGAGTTTTACTGCTTGTCAATGTATAACCCATTGAAAAAAAATAAATAAAAAAATTACATTTTTTTTAAATAATTAATTGATAAATAGGTGTGCAGGTTCGGAGCCTGGATGATGGAGATCTCCCAGCAAACTTTTGGTGCTTAGGATAAAATTAATGCCTTTTGCTCTGTACACTGACGGATATACACGTAAAAGCTCTCACTCCACCTCAGTGCTTAACAGTAATCAACGGAGCTGAAATGTGGCTGATTGATACTTCTCTTAAACTCCAGAATATGCACTGAGCGGCAAATTTGAGACTTGTAGACAGGACCGCCGAAGATATTCCATGATATATAAATTTTTTTTTATCCCCGCCTATTTTAGTTAAGTAAGCTGAAATGACTAACAGTCCTTTTATATTGTGTGAAAAGTTCACGATGATATCTTTCGATCATATTTTATAAGAAGGAAATTTGTCCTTGTTACTCATTTCCACTTTGTTAAAATTTAGGGATTATATTTTCTAGTCATTATTTTTTCAATGCAGAAATCCTAACGAACAGCCAGCACAAAAAAAAAGTGGTGTGTGCTTTAAACTAGACCAACCTACCGATATGTATTTCGACCTGTTGAATCCGAATCTGAGGTCCGTTTGACTCGTACACCCTCAAAATTTTGTAAAAAAAAAGGACAGCACATTTTAACCAGGGTTGGGCATGCTGCACTAAATTTTTAATACTCTAAGAATTTCTTTAGCACTATTCATGTAGTGGTACTGATATTTGAAATGCATTACCACTAAGTGCATAGTGGTAGTGGCAAAATGGTATCATTACCACTATGAACTTAGCGGAAATGCATTTCAAATTTCACTACCATTATATGGTTAGTGGTCGCTGTGGTGTAGTAGTAAGCAGTGCACGCTTCCACTCCCCAGGCGTTGGGTTCAAGTCCTGGGCAAAGCAACATCGCAAAAAAATATAGAAAAAAGGTTTTTTCTTAACAGCGGTCGTCCCTCGGCAGGCAATGGTAAACCTCCGAGTGTATGTCTGCCATGAAAAACAGCTTCTCATAAAAATACAATCGCTGTTCGGAGTCGGCGTAAAATTGTAGGTCGCATAAAAATACAATCGCTGTTCGGAGTCGGCGTAAAATTGTAGGTCGCTTCCCTCTGGGTGACAACATTAAGGCGCACGCCACAAATCAGAGGAGAAGCTCGGCCAACCAATTGCCAATCTATTATAATATTATTATATGGCTAGTGGTTAGAAATTTTTGAATAAATCTGTTGTAAGGAAATGGTTATTAAACAGACCGCAAAATTTTACAAAATACATACACTGTATAAACTATCCATATAGTAGTAGAGAAATTTGAAATGAAAGCCCCAGTGGTAGTGAAAATTTCGATTTAGTGCAGCTTGCCCAACCCTGATTTTAACTATTGTATTTATTAAAAGATATTATATGAGAATTAAAAAAAATTTATTTCCTTTTTAAAAAATTAAAAATTACATAAACGAGTCCTTATCTATTAAAGTATGCCTATCTATTTTAATAATTCATCTAAAACTCCCAAATCATCCAAACGCCGTAGAGCGTATTTAACTTGCGCTTGTAAACGTTCTTGCGCAAAAACCATCTCGAACTTTTGCCGAGCAAAGTTCTCATCCATCATTTTTTCAATACTGTTGTCCGTGGACAATTCCCTCGGCAGAGTAACCATTGGCAGGAAACCAAACAGTGCGAACAGACCATAAAGTTCGCGTGCGCGCAACTCATACCTCAGATCCTCCAGAGTCGGTATGTTGTCGTGATTAAGAAACTCTAGTGTAGCCGTGAATGTTTTGAAGTAAACATTTATTAAATCTTCGCGCCGATCTTGGAGCAACTCCAGACGTATGCTTGTATTGAATAGAAAATTCAGATCACACGCGGGGCTGCCATAAAAGTTTAGCTGAAAGTCCACCTGAAAATATTCAAATAGACAAGAAAAATAAAAGAAAAAAGCGCATATATACTTTTTTAATGAAAACTTACAAACACTGCACGCGTCGGCTTATGCGGCTGCATGGAATCGTCATAAGCATACATGAAGTTTGTGGTCCATAGGTCGCCATGATTCATCACAATAATACGATCGCCATGGCGATATTCGGCCAAACGCGCGCATATCGCGTTGAAATTATCATAAAAATTGTGCAGCTTTTGTGAGATCTTTTCAAAGCCAGGCCAATTTGCTGCATTGAGCGCCAGCTGTCTTAGTCTGCCGCCGAACAAGTTTTTATAGGCATCGCTATTCATAACACTCTCTTCACAGAGCATGCCTTTGCTGAGGCGTTTAGTAATGACAGGATCCTAGAAGACAAAGTACAACGTAAAATTTTTAGCCGAATATCTTATACAACCTATAGTGTTTATGGTTAACGCTCACCTTCTTGGCCAAAACCATTGAGGTGGCATGCAAGCGGCCCAGTTGTTGCAAGATCAATTCGCTGTGTGCCCAATCGAGTTGGTCCTGCCGCGAAGCAGTGGTGAATCCATCCATTTTCAAATCATTGAAAACGATCGTCTGCATCGGTGCTTTAATGGCATATAAGCAGCTGTGCAAAAGAGATAAAGTTTAGTGCAAAAGCAAGTTGAAGGCTTTTGGTATTCAATTGAAAAACAAAAGGATTTTAGCAAACTTGGTACGACAAGGCTTTGAGAACTCTTTTAAGAATTTCTCATTTTGTGCCGAAGTTTTGTGTGACACTAACTTAGCGCTGAATTTATGACCATCCAGAAGTATTTCCAGCCGCGGCAACACATCCAAATAGGTGAATTTCTCTTTCAAAAATACTCCAGCATCTTCGAGAAACCGCGTCTCTTTGGTGATCGGAATAGTTTTAATTATCAATGATAGTTTTTCCTGTCCTAAATGCTCCTTATTTGGTGGCATTCGCTTGAACCCAATCAGGACGCGATAAATGCGTGAGCAATAGTTGTCGCCCGGCTTGCTGCCCCACTCGAAAACCGCGTCAATAACTTCGAGTTCGGCGGTCTCGCGCAAACTTGCTTCCAGCGCAGTCACAAAAAACTGTTCATTCAAATAGTCGGGTAAAATGATGCTGTTCGGATTTTTAATAAGCATTTTTCCTGATAATAAACTTTTCTTTCCGAAGAACGAATTTAAAATAAGTCAATCCACGACGCGCTGCCAAAATCTATTGAAGACTGACTCGAGTGTTTGACCATTTTAATAGACAAAGACCGAGGAACTGATGATCACTGATGAGTCGACGCTTGGTTTCGAATGCTACGTCATATTGAAAATGTACTTATAAATAGTTTTCGTTGTTGTATTTAAGTATGTTTAGTAATAAATAGTATTTTTATGACGTCTATAAAGAGTCTTAAAATTTCCTCTTTTTGTCGGAGTCATAATTGCTTAGGATTTCCCAAAGCTGTTAAATTTCTTTAGAATTTCATGATATCCTCTGTTGCAGTGTTTTTTTTTTTTTACAACCGTGCTTACTAATGTGTACAACTATGTAAAATAAATTCTAAAATTAGTAATCTTAATCAATGCGACAAGTCGCAAATCGGAAGTGCATGATTTTAAGTGCTCCATCCTAAGCCATACTTGGGAAGTCCACATCAAATCACGAGCCATAAGCAGATACATTTTCACTTGCTATTCATTCAAGAGTTTTTGCATCAAATAACCCATTGGAATGATGCTAAACTGTTCGCACGATCTTTAAACATTGCATGCCAGCATACATACATACATATATGTATAAGTATGTAAGTGCATACATCATGCGAAGTTTGTTTGCATTTTAAGTTACCACACACATACTAACTGAAGAAAAATTACTATTATTTAACATTTGTTTAATCCAAATGTACAATTAAGCACCTTAGCTCTGTATAATTTATTAAAAACCGATTCAAGCAAATACGAAATCGAGACTCTACTTAAAAATATGTACTTATTTACGTAACTGGACAATTCCATTGCTTTTATAAGATACAATTTTGAAATAAAAGATTTCATGCGCTCAGGTGTACTTACATACATATATATACAGTATCGGCCATATCAGTAGCACCCCATTTCAAATGATATTGTTTTTACTAATTTATTTTGAAAAATTTTCAATTAAAATACAGTTCATTCACTAACAAAAGACATACTTAAAAACCCAAGTTTAAAACTTTGTAGAAAACTAGAAAATATCTACAAATTTTCATCCAAATTTTAAACCTTTTTTCTCAGTATTTGCGGAGTTNATTTTTTTTTTTTTAGAATAATTCACCCCACATGGTTGAAAAGTTTAATCTTAAAAGGTCTGCATAAACATGTTTTTAAACATTTTATCAACGCACTATGCTCTAAACTTTGGAGCCTGGTTTTGTGGACAAAACAAATTACGGCAAAATAAATGGATAATTTAAAGAGGTAAAGTTTTTGATTGTTTGAAATATTTTAATCCTTCACAACCGAGGGATCTAGAGTGGTCACTTTGCAGGTTTTTTTTTTTAACTTTCGTACGAAAGAAAAAAATTCCACTAAGTTATTAAGCCCATTTATACAGAGGCAATTTTTTTTTAAAATTTTGCAAAATTATACTAATTTCAACTTAAAACCTGAAAAGTCTGATTTTTTACTTTAACTTCTGAAAAGTTAAAAGGTGCAACCTTTGCAGCAACAAAAGTGTAAACCGACTTTTGTTTCCTCTCTTTTTTGAGTTCTCCCCTCCAAACGGTAAATAGTCACCTACTGACAGATAACCTCCAAAGTAGTCGTTTTCTCAGAAATTGCCACAAAAAATTGTATATAGTAATTTTACTCTTTAACAGTATCTTAACCAAACCTAGCCAAAATTTCCTAGTCTTATGTAAAAGTAAAATATAAGATAAATCTAATAAATTATTAGAAGCCAAAAATTAGATTTTATCAGCAAAACCAAGTTACAATATTTTGTTCCTACACATCCATAATAGTTATTACTCGTAATTTTAGTTTGCGTACCAACTTTTTTTTTTTTAAATGCTATGTCTGATTTGGGTATCCCCGCCAAACTGATACGGCTGTGTAAAATGACGTTGAGCATTGGTCATTGTCAGCATCATGCCTGCCTGTGCTGGTGTATGGTGCGGAGGCATAGACAATGAAAACGTCCGATGTAGCGGCGTTGGGAGTTTTCGAGAGAAAGAATCTGCGTAAGATTTACGGGCCTTTGCGCGTTAGCGATGGCGAATACCGCAGACGATTTAATGATGAGTTGTATGAGCTTTACAACGATGTAGACGTAGTGCCGCGAATTAGAATTCAGTGGCTCCGCTGGCTAGGTCACGTCGTTCGAATGGATAGAAACGCTCCAGCTCTGAAAATATTCAACGCGGGTTGCGATGCTGGTAACAGAGGAAGAGGAAAGCGTCGGAGAGACCAGGTGGAGAAGGACTTGACTTCATGTGACATTTCCAATTGGCGTCAGTTGGCACAGAAAAGAAATGACTGGCGCGCTGTTTTGGACTCGGCTAAAATCGCTTAGGCGGTTACCGCGCCAATAAAGAAGAAGAAGAAGAGTGCCGTCCGACTGTTGCTAAGTTCCCTGTAAGCACAGCTAGGGCTGGTTTCACCAATTCAACTTGACTTAGTTAAGCCAATTTTCTTGACTTAGTCAAGAATAAGCTGTGTAAAACGTAGGCTAACTTTTGACTTAAGTCCAAAAAGTGGCTAAACTAAGTTAAGTTGAGTTGGAGAAACCAGCCCCTAGTCTCATACTCTCAAATTATAAGAAGAGCATTGTTAATACATATACTTGCTGGGGACATGGGCTAGTGAGAGCTTGAGTGTTAGTTTTTCCACAAGCTTATCATTCAGGCGAAGATTAAGAGAGTAAGTTAGGCTCTTTGCTCTGTGGTAAAATATAGTTGTCGGGAATTAACTCCAGTGTTGTTGTGGGACATATGCGCATCGCTTCTGTAATACAACCACGGTCTAACTGTAGAAGCTTTGGTGAGACACTGACTCCATCTCAGGATATTTGGGCTTCACCCTTAAGACTCCCATATTTGCACACCGTTTCTAAGAGAACCTAAATACATACATACATAAAAATTTGAGTAAGATCAACGAACGTACATACATATGTACATATTTATAATAACATCAACAAATAAACTATTTTGGTGGAATCTAAATCTACATCCTTTAAATAAATGGTTAAGTTTAGATTTTTTTTGTGGATGACATTAGAGAGGGGCGGATTCCTTATAAATTCTTTAAGCCGATTATCATTTTCACACCATCAAGAAAAGCTTATAATGTCGTAGATCCATATTTTAGAATACATTAATTTAAAATGAGACTACAATATAATCATACTTTTTTGTTGGTCTGTGGTGCAGTTTTACATTAAATATTATCTAGCTGAAAAAAATAAATGAAATTACTCGCCAACCACTGTGTGACATCAACACATGGCAATTTAGCTGGGCATAAATAATTTCACAATTTTTCGAAATTAAATTAACGTAAATGTCTTTAATGTCCGTAATTAATTCCAAAACCACATTTTATGATGGGAAAAAGCCGACCGCGAACCAGAAACAGACAGACAGAGTGGAGGCCAACAGCGGCACCACTCAGCGCGAGAGGCTTACGAGTACATGCGAGTATATATGTATGTGTGAATTTACATATGTATTGGCTACATTATATTACAAAATATATATATTGCATGTTTGCAATTTTTGTGTTATGGCAAAACTATGCATTTGGCGTGTGGCCAAAAAAAAAATCACTAAAATTATGCAAACAATAATAAAATGTTAGTGGCGCACAGAAAACAACCACGATACAATAGCAACAGCAATCCACAGTGCATTTTGCACTCTTATGCATATCAATGTTACATATATGCTGGTAAATACATACATATAAATCTAATGGGAACGAAAAGTTTCGCTTAGAGCAGGTATCGGTGGTTGGTTGCTCCACACTGGAGATGGCTGTCTTCGCGAACTTACTTTCCGATGTAATCGTTAATTCGCTTTATACAATTTTGTTAAGCTGTCCAATAGGTGCAACCTATCATCCTGTGCAGCGCCCCTGACAATAACTAAAATTTAAATTATCTATGAAGCTAAAATATATCAACTCACTGAAAATATGCTCAGAAGGACTCAACATTGATATTAAAAAAAAAGTTTACATATCTTTTTCAGCAACTTTTTTGAGTTGAAGATTACAATTTCACCTTCTAGGGTGTTGTTTTTTTATATCAAATATTTTCTTTTATTTAAATTTTATTTGTAGTGCATACAATTTGCCAGCTCTTTCCGTGTCACCTGACACAGTGCATATTTGATGACATCGCCAGTTGACAACGACGCCTCAATGGCAGTGTCAGGCTAATAACTCACAATGTTGTTAAACAATTTTTGTGAAAAGTTTACAATTTAAATATGCATGGGTGAAGGTATGCATGTAAATGTTACCCAGGAGAAAAAAACGTATATGTATATGTATACTTATCAACACTACGTGGGCAGCGGCAAAAACTTAATCAATATCGACGAACAGGGAGTTGTTGCCAGCAAATGTCAAAAAAAAACGCGCGGGCGCAATATTTTTGTGTGTGTATGTATGTTTTTTTTTTGGCAGCGCGTTATTATGTTTTAAACACAATTTTATTAGCATTTTCAATTTTGTGGTTTTGTTAGTGACACTCGCAGCGGTGTGTGCCTTCATTTTTTTTCCAAGTGTAATATTAATTAGCAGAGTTTATGAAAAATTCATAATGCGATAATTTTGTTTGTTTGTTTGTTTGTTTACTATTGACTGATCAGTGTTGAATATTTGAGTAAAAATTTACATAAGGGGATAATTTGCGGTTGCGCGAAAAAAACCACCATAGTAGAATAAATTATTTTATTTACTACGTACCTATGCATACAAAAAGCAATGTAGTTTATTTTGGACATTAAAAATTTATGTAGTACTTACCTATTTTGAATAGACATTTGAATTTTGTTAATATTTCCGTTAAAAATCTTAAAATAAAAATAATATAGAATTCATAAGATTGCCTTCCAGAAACTTCTCTTCTCGGGGCAGAACTTAGTGTCTACATTGGA